TTCATGCCCCTATCCCACCCTGCCCCTCTAAAAAAAGACCCCTTTAAAAGAAGCACCTCCCTTTGAAGGAGAGAAAAGAATGGAAGGCAGGGACTTGAATCAGATAGGAGAGACAGAAAAATCACTATAGTTTTGTTCCAGGAACCAAAGCACTTTGGGGTTTCACGCCCATTTGAAGCAGAATGGCATCTACTGTACTTTGTTTCTATTGTAAATGACTTTCAAAAGCACTGGAGTGGGTGGGAGGGGACTCTGGGAGCTGCCATCACTCCCCTGAGTGTCCTTTCCACCAATCAGCCTCCAGCAAGTAGACCAAGAGGAGAAAACTCCAGAGTTAAGGAATGCTGAGCTGCCCTGGCCACTTTCCTCTCCGCCGCCCCCCCCCCCCCCCTTAGTGCTTAGTGCAGCTCAGAGCTCAGCAGGGCTAGCTAAGGTAGCCTATCAGATCACCATGAGGAGCCCAACGTACTCAGCACTCACCAACTTCTAGAAAGAATGCTGAGCTCTACAATGCTTGGCTCTCAGTTCAGTGATTCCCATTAGGTCTGAAGCCAGGCTAGGAAGGAAGGTTTGTCCTAAGAGAGTTAAAGCACAGGGTTTGCCTGGCAAGTAAGGCCAAAGAAAGGGCTGTGAAAGGGTCAAAGGAAGTCTCCTCACTTCAAATCTTGCCTGTTTCCTTCTGCCTCTGCTTTCACCACTTCGGGATTCAGCATAGTCTATAAGTGGTGTACCTAATCTGGTTGGAATTTCCTCCTCCACCCACCTGGCATTTTACCCACAGTTTTGAGCACTCCAGACGAGAGGGGTTCTCATAACCACCCCAAGCGTTGGTTAGCCTACCACACTACTATGGAGGACCAAGGAGAAGCTCATAGAAAACTTGTTGCAACACCCCAGTTGGAAAGGAGCAACTTTGGAGAAGTTTTAAGCTTCTTCCATTTGGAGAAGACTCCATGATCCCTACACTTCCCTTGGCACACATAGTGGGGTTCAGAACCAACATGAGAAAACCTGCAGCCAAAGGTCCCAGGAGTCTGGCCCTTTATGAGCACTCATTTCCCACCACATAGGGTGCTCATGTGTCATTGTAGGATAAGTACTAGACTGCTAACAGCAAGGTCGGTGGTTCAAACCCACCAGCTGCTTCTGGGGAACCCTATATAGGGGTCACTTTGTGTCAGAACTGACTAATCAGCACTTACCAACAACAAATAACATCTTCTACCACAGTAAAAAGGTAAATGAAAAGAGGAAGACTCAGGAAGGAGCAAATAGATTGCAAAGGTCCTCCAAATAACCATTAAATAATCACAGGCTGTTGATCACTGGAACGTGAAAGACATTAGTGATCACCAGGTTTAATGGTTTTCGTCTTTTTTTTTTTTTTGTCATAATCCCAGCAAGAAGAAAATTATATACTGCCAACCAGGTAACACATATGTATATACAAAATGGAAACAATGAAATAACACACCAAAATACAAACAATGAAACAACAACAACAACGGCATTTTATGGAGTCCTGGTGTGGCGCTGTGGGCTAATGCGGCAGACTGCAAAGCTGTTTAAACTGCAAGGTCAGTGGTTCAAGCTCACCAGCTGCTCCTCGGAAACCCTATACAGGGTAGCTATGGGTTGGAATCAACTTGACAGCACTTAACAACAACAACTTCATTTTATGGAGTCCTGGTGTGGTGCTGTGGGTTAATGTGCTGGACTGCAACGTCGGTATGAACTTCAAGATCGGTGGTTCAAAGTCACCAGCTGCTCCTCAGAAACCCTACACACAGTCGCTCAGAGTCTGAACCGACTCTTAACAACGGCACTTAACAACAACTACCACCACAACATTTTATGAGTGTCAAAACTAAAGCATAGAAAAGTGCCTAAGCCATGAAATTAGCTAGGAACAGAGCTGGCCCCCTGGTTCAATTACTCAGGGTCTCTCCATCATCCAAACTGCTTACATTGAGGTCTCCCGAAGTGAATCATTTTCATGGCTGAAGCATAGATGCATCCCTGACACCTCACATGGGGCCTGGACAACTGTGCTGACTTTGGCAGGCATTGGCACTTTGCTGCAGCCTCCCTGTGACCTAAAGTCACACCACTTAACTGTCTATGAGCCTTCTGTCTCAGCTTAAAAATGAAAAGAACAATTCTTGATTTCCTTTCAAGAAAGTTGTAAGGGGGAAAATGAAGAGGTGCTTTAAAATCACACTTGCATGCTAAGAACAGGAAAAACCAAAAGGGTCAGAATTTGGTCACTGGATTAGAATTCAAGAACCTAGAGAACCTTATAGATTAGTTATCCAAAGCCTTCATTTTATAAACCAGCCACATAAAGTAAGTGACTTGTCTAGAAAAGCTAGACCAGCATCTTCTACCATATGCATCATGTTAATCTGCCCATAGCTTAAAACTGCTACCAAACCCACCGTCATCCTATAGGATAGAATGGAGAACTGCTCCCAGGGTTTCCAAAGATAGAAATCTTTACAGAAGCAGACGGCTTCATCTTTCTCCCTAGAAGCAACTGGTGGGTTCAAACTACCACTCTTTTGGTTAGCAAAACTGTTACAGAAAATAGTATTAAGTTCACAGGTGACATCTGGATCAAAACATACCAGTGTCTCACGGCCAGGAGGAGGAGGAAATTAAACACTGGTCACACATTTAAACAAGTGAGACAAATGCTTCACTATAGAGTATCAAAAGAAGCTCAAAATGTATGGACTATTTTTAATCGTAAAAATAAGCAAAAATGGTAGCCATAACCAAACTCATGGCAAAATGGCCAAAGGTCTCAGAGGTGATAAGCTCCTTAGTGGAACCTTCAGCTCCACCACACCAGAGATTCTGGAGCCTGCTCAAATAATATCTCACGGCTACTAATTTACCCAGGCTCTGTCCAAGGCACTTGAGACAGCAGCTTCAAACACAGAGAATTTTATTATATTTGAAGAATTCCTTCTGATACAGATACCATCTATCTGCAAGTAATCCTGGAGGGGCTTAGAAATGTAAGAGGCAACATCACCATGCTATCTGGGGCAGGCAAGCACCATTCCTCTAATTCCCCACAGGCACACTGAAGGAAAGGAGTTATGGCTCAGGCACTAACATCACGATTAAAGACTTAGTCCTCGCTTTACTACAAACACACGTTCGTTTTCTCTTTGGATTTGTGTCGGTCCAGCCATCAACTGCCAACTTTCCAAGGGCTGCCCAGAGTAGGAAAGGCCCTCCAAATTAGGCTGGCTGGTCTTCACGCCTCTTCATTTGGAACAACTTCAGCAACAAAACACAGCTGCCAGTGGGAGAGCGCCTTAGGGCCTTGCCTTGCAAGATAACTGCCATCCAGAGAGACCGCCAACATCTGAGCTGCTAGTCAGAGGAAATAAGCGATGTATGAGACTCACAAATTTATCAGTTCACCTCTCTGTGCCTCAGTTTATCTATTAATCCCCCTATTCATCGGAGATTAACCATTATGCAAATGCGATATCTATGGCTATGAAAGTATCATTCAGTCAGGTGAATAGGTTGTCAGTTGTTGTT